TGCCACGACAGACACGAACACCAGTGAGCCTCCACACCCGCCTCGCTACACGATCTGTTCTTTGGAATCTGGAAAAGAACATATTATATATATCGGCGCTACCAGCTTTAATAACGGATGCGACTTGAAAATAATTTGAGGCCGTCATCAATTCTTATTAAACCTCATTAGTATTTATGATTATTGTTAAAAGTAAAACGAAATCAAAGGAGAATAGAACTATGTTTGAATCTTGTTATAAATATGACGTCTGGATGCAAGACGGCAGAATGGGGATTTTTCAGAATTGATAATTACAGAGTTCAGTGAGTGTGAATCATTGAAGTAGGTATGTTGTTATGAAGAATCTTTGAGAAATACAGGAGCATTAAGAACAATTGAAGTTTCATTTTAAAATATCATGGACCATACTAGAAGAAGTGACCTTTGTAACGTCAGCGAGGCTGGCGTCCCTCTCTTTTAAAACCACGAATTTGTAATAAATCCGATATATACATAGTAATATATTATAAAATGACCGAGATATAATGATAGTTTTGACAACGTTACTAGATTGGTAATATGTACTTCATGATCATGAGCTTTGAATGTTTTCTGGATGTACCAGACCAGACTAGTTAATTTATGGAAAAAATACACGTGTTTACAAAATGAAATATGTATTGTAATTAACCATGAAATGAAGGTTGTTCTGTATATATAAATAGAATACTTATATTAAAGACAATGAGATCAAAAACAATACCAGTATTTACAATTAAGTTTTTATTTTTTAATAAAAATGCTTGAATAAAAAATCTTATGAACCAGCATCCGAAACATTGCGTTCAAATTATTTGGCAAACTAAACTATCGTGCTAGGTCGAATTCAAGTATGATTATATGACAATGTTACTGACCGGTTCCAACAGACTGAGTCCCCTGTTCAGATCGGCTCCTTTAACTCTATATGTGTTAGTGAACTGCGTCAGGTCCAGTACATCTAACACCGTAGCGTATATGTCGTGAGGTGTCGTCAATACTTCCACGTTCTCCTTCAGATTCTTCTCCGCCTCTGTTCTCCTCTTTTTCAGTTTTTCTGGAAGTCTGATCGCCATGAGCGGTATTTTTTCTTCGAGTTTCCCTTGGAGAGTATCACGAACATTTGCGTACCTTATTTTATGTCAATAACTTTATTTATTGATATTTCTTGGGGATCTCTTTTACAATTCAAGTTTTAATTTTTTCCCAGATATGTAATGTAATATGACTAAAATTTTATATCAAAGAATGAGGGGAACTATTAAAACACGTATGATACTTTCTTGAAAAAATCTTTAAAACTAACAAAAAGTTAAAATTCGAGGCAATACAAGTATAGCGAAAGACAATTGATGAAAATAAATATAATGTTGTTTTTTTATAGGTTATTATTTGCCTTTTGTTTATTTCAATTAATTATAATATTTACCTCGTTCCATGGTGCCCCATGACAATTATCAAGGTATCCTCTTTATATCCGTCATGGAATCTTGTAAGATACTCCGCAGTGTCTTCATCAGCTATAGATATCATGTTGAAGTCATCATGGGATATGTCAACTATAAACGTGAACGCAAAACGTTTTCCATCCAGACGAAGAAACTGAAAAGAAGACGAATGAAAAGATAAAACAGGAAAATAATATTTGACTTATAGAACTAAGCACCGTCAGAACGACTGAGTTATTGTATCAGATAAAATCTAAAACGTATAATTGTAGTAAGTATTTCAATATTCTATATACTTAATTGAAAAATTATGATGAACCAATCAAAAATATACCTTATTACATAAAACTTAAAGAATAATTTCCTTGCATCTGATCAGTAATATCCAACATGAATTTATACTCCGGAGTGTCTCCCTCGCAGTATTTGTTCAAGCTGCTCGTCCAACATTTCTTGCCACCGTTTGACTCCTCCATATAAAACGATAACAAGTAATGATCCGCGGGTTGCTTCTTGAAACCATTGAATCTGTACTGGAATGTTCCTATCCAGGGCGTGTCTTTGAAGAACGCTGTTCGGTAACTGAAATCATACGTTTTATACTTACATCAAACAGATCTTTAAGTATCAGTAAGTTTGTGATGCATTTTGCTCGTTTGTAGCTAAAAATAATTTGCACAAGTCATATGGAATAAAGCTATAGATTAATTAATTGTCAAGAAACGAACTACAAAATAAAGAAAATTTAATGTATGATTAAGTAAATAATATCATTTTGAAAATCCAAAATCATTTTAAATTTCTCTTAATAATATCTGTCTTAATTTTTCTTAGTATTAATGTTCATTTTTTAAGTGATTCATGAAGAGTGAATGATTACATTAAAATAAAGATTAAAAAGACTGACGCTTATTATATTTCCCCAAAATTAAGTCCACCCTATCCACCAAGTCTCACCCTTCATCCTTCAGCTTATAGAATATGAAGGGCATGTCGTCCAAGGTTCTGTTGTTCTTCATCTCTTCTTCCTCACGTCAGGCAGTTCCAACTCCGTCTTCCCCGTCAGGATCGGGAACAGGGCGGCGGGCGTCCCATCGCCTACTATGTTGTACCTTTAAATATGATATTTTTGAAATTTTCTAGTATTACTAATACTATTGGGGTCGGTATTTGGATTAGAATTCCTCAAGAGAAACGTAAGGTAACAAAATGGAAAGTTTTTTACCATTTTAGATTTTGTTTTCTTGGAAAATTTCTCATTAAAAAGATGCAGGTAAATTCAAGATAAACAGCAAAGAAAATTTGCCCTGTAATGTGTCATTCAAAATATCATATTGGTTGTTACATACCCATTCCAAATCGTGGCGCCCAATGTTTCCTTTAAAACTTTATAGCTCTTCGGCATTTTTCGTATGAATCCGTTTTTGGAGGTGGAGTCGAATCCCAGGATGAGCACGTTCAAGGAGTCACCTCTTTCTTTCGGATTGAGTTTTGCAAGAACAGTGGAACGGAAGCCAAGAGAGTGGCCGATCCATTTGGAAGGGAGTATACTGGAAAATCATGAAAACATTTGAAACATTTTGTTCAGATTTCCATTAGTAACAACTATTCAAAATTGTTACGTGACGTTTATACTAGGGAAAATAATCAAGACTTTTAAAAAATATGAGTAGCAAGTAACATATCTGAAAAATTACTAATCAAAAAAATATATAACTTGACCACAGTGAAAGATCTCAAGAAACAGCAGTAATAGATTATAAAAACTAAGACTAATCGATAGTCTTTCTGTTATCGTGATTATTGAAAAGTATTTTTCACTACACTTTCTATTGCCTTTAACACATAATCTCACCTGTCCCTATGTTTCCCTGAACACTTAATCTTTACATGATCGCTCTTAGTGAGGACATATTCGTTATCACCTCTGACCTCTGTGGGAGGACCGATTGTATATTTTGACTATACATACTATATGTATACAGTATCCTTTGAATAAGAACAGGTTTCCAATAATCATACTAAACACCACCAAGGATTCATTCTGTGAGTTGAAAAATATTTTAATAACAGTATTAACTAACCAATGATTGTAACGGCGATGATATTAAAAATTTTGAAAGAACGTGGAAAGTAGCAACCAGTTCCATTTGATGAAAAACGTATCGGAGCAAAACAGCAAAGTCTTGTAGTATGAATCGCCATGAATCACTCAGTATCAAGCTGCGTGGTAATTTCATTTTCTGTAATTAGATATGGGAAACAGGATTTAAAGTTTTATATAAACATAATAAAATAGTTGGCAAAATATAAATAACTGAAAATTTATTTAATAAAAAATAGACCACACATTTCAAGATCACGTAATCATAGGACAAAAATAAGTTGCATCATTTTGAAAAAGTGCTCCTACGTTTGATCGATATTAGCCAAACATAGATAAGAACTACTGCAAAGTGATTGGCTTTCAGATTTAAAAAAAACATCGAAATTGGATGATCCCTTTGAGAGCTACCATTCCACATACAGACACACACGCAGCATCTACATACATCAATTTTATAACACCCCGCTTTTTGGGTCGGAGATTACATAACGAATATTATTTTTATAGTTTCAAATCATTTTCACTAAATTATGATATGATCGCGTCTTATTACTCAAACTTTCTTTTACACGTTTTTATACGCGTTAAATAAGTGACCAGTACTCATTAACGATCCGTGGACAATATCTAGTCTTAGACCCAGTTTCACCAATCAATGTTAAATAAGTAAAATCGTGTTAAGGCGTTTGATGCTCTATTAGATGTATCGAGCGTCCCACCACGCACAAATGTCCGTTTAAATGTCTTAATCAGCCACTAATATCAATTCCTGCTCTGGAGCTCCGTCTAATGGCTAACCGAATGTTAATGGCATTGTCAAAACTCAATTGTCCAATCACAGCCCTGATTTCTTGTAACCATAGTAACGTCATCTGTTTTGTCAGTTTGGACTATTTCCTTGTTATTATTAATAAAGTGAATTAAAAATTTCATTTAGTATGATGATTTTGCCTCCAGATTTTCTATGACATTGCAAATAAAATTTTCTTTTTATCTCGTATAATTTGAACACAATTTATGCCTATATTTATAACACAGTAACATTTAATACAATTTATTGACAGCACGATTTTGACAAGTTACACCTAGTAAATTGAAAAGAAAGCTTTTTGTGTACCAAATGTATGCAATCAACGATATACAAAATTTGTTCGCATTAGATAGCAAGTGAGTATCGAGGAATGTATATGATCAAAGTATAAAGATTTTATCCAGAGTTTCTATATTCTTAGTAAATTCTCGTACAAGTTTTTCTCGTTCGTGTTAAAGAAATTTATATGAGAATCGTGTTATATTTTTGTACCTACATATATTAAAGATTCATAACCGGAACTGGATTCAAATATTGTATTGTGTAAAGCTGAGTAGACGCTGCGAGGGTTAGGCCCTGTTTGTTTTTAGATATAAGCAAGTTAGACGATCAGTTGGTCGATCAGTTGGTCGATCAGTTGGACGATCAGTTGGACGATCAGTTGGTCGATCAGTTGGACGATCAGTTGGACGATCAGTTGGTCGATCAGTTGGACGATCAGTTGGACGATCAGTTGGACGATCAGTTGGTCGATCAGTTGGACGATCAGTTGGACGATCAGTTGGACGATCAGTTGGTCGACCAGTTGGACGATCTGTTAGTCGATCAGTTGGTCGATCAGTTGGACGATCAGTTGGTCGACCAGTTGGACGATCTGTTAGTCGATCAGTTGGTCGATCAGTTGGACGATCAGTTGGTCGACCAGTTGGACGATCAGTTGGTCAATCAGTTGGTCGACCAGTTGGACGATCAGTTGGACGATCAGTTGGTCGACCAGTTGGACGATCAGTTGGACGATCAGTTGGACGATCAGTTGGACGATCAGTTGGTCGACCAGTTGGACGATCAGTTGGTCGATCAGTTGGACGATCAGTTGGACGATCAGTTGGTCGATCAGTTGGTCGATCAGTTGGACGATCAGTTGGACGATCAGTTGGACGATCAGTTGGTCGACCAGTTGGACGATCAGTTGGACGACCAGTTGGTCGATCAGTTGGACGACCAGTTGGTCGATCAGTTGGACGATCAGTTGGTCGATCAGTTGGACGATCAGTTGGACGATCAGTTGGACGATCAGGTGGTCGACCAGTTGGACGACGAGTTAAATATCAATAATATTCTAAATTTCATTTTAAACTATACGAGCAGTGCAGTCAGTATGCGGTACAATACAAAATTACGTGGAAATGTATTTTACTCTAATCTGCATGTTCACTGTAAATGTACATTGTTTCTATTGAAATTGAATTATTAAGTCCAACTTATGTATTATGTAATACAAAGTTCATATTTATTTAATGGACTTTTGTTTTAATAGATGAAAACTAAGCTAATGTAATTATCCACAGCTACACCCCTAATTAAGGGATAAAAAGGGCTAGGAGAATAAACCACAACGCAACTCCAATGTGGTTTAGTGGGTTAGTACAATAGTGACATATTGGAACAAAATGTTCAAACTTATTCTTATTAAAATATACCCTTAAAATAAAATAACTTTTGCTCCCGTTAATGACGAGCCACTTGACCTGCAAGAAAACCTTCAAGTGTACTTGGAGAACCATTGGTTTGCTGAAATGTTCGATCAACAGAGAGTCGACAAGATTTTCTCAACGTAAGACATATTAATGTTTGCGCATATATTCCGACCCAACTAAAAAGCCTAATCAAAATGCTTAATTAGTTATCTTAGAAAAATAAAGGAAAGTTATATTTAATTAAGTTTTAAGCTTTCTAATCGTTGTAGTGTATGGCGTCAGGTTATCTCGCGTGTTAATGGATGCAAAATAGTTTTTCATGTTCTAATAAAAGATATATTCATTACTGTTCATGGTGAAACACGTGGACGCGTGCGGCGGCGTGCTGAAAACATAACGAAAAGTTTATTAATATTTATGTTATATATATATATCAAATTCAGATCGATATACATAATTAGATTATACATAATTTTGTGATCTAATTAAAGCGACAATTAGTAAAGTAAACAGTCCAATCAAAATTGTTAAATGTAATCTAATTACATATTTCCACAACATATAATATGTTTTAACATTTTAGATTAAAGACAAATCTCTTATGAGAAAATTCTACTCAATTTATGAAGGTATCAAGCATTGACAGAATATGTCTCAAATTTTAACGACGTTGTTCGTGAAGATAAGAAACTTGTTGGAAAATATTATTTCTGAAAACACGACATGGATTTTGAGAAATTTTGGTCTTGTTGTATCACAATGTTTATCTTGAGTGTAAATTGTGTTAGTACTTATAAGTTTAAAAGACTGAGACCTAATACTAACAAGTGTTTTCAGATATTCAGTCCCAGATTATTTTAGTCATAGTTTGAATAAACATTACAATTGAATACAAAGTTTAAATCATTGTTATATAATGTAGTAAATATTAGCTTTATATTCATAAAAATATCCGATTCATTTGAACAGTTTTGCTGAATAAGTAATGTATACATATAATATATCAAAATTCCATTCATAATATTAATAGTTGGATGGTTTTTGTTCAAATCAAAATCACGAAGATTTATGTAAAACTTGCTCATTCCCGGAAATAACACGACTAATAAAAGGTCCTAATATACCACATTACAGAGCAAAATCCATTTAAAGTCCGAGTCTTTAAAACTTAACAGGATCGTACTAGTCCGTAGTAAAGGATACAAACTATTGTTCACGAATGTCCCAGAATAATTTAGATTACTTAATGGGCAGAACATCACTAATGTCCACGCAGGGATTACGTTCTGCGGCCTCTGATATTTTAAGCTCTATGCACTTTTAAATATAAGTCATATACGACGTATTTATTGGTATTAATTGGCAGTAAGTAGTATTATTTTATATATGTTTAAAGTCTAAGGATCTTTAATTAATCAATCGCATAATGCATAAAGTATTGTACAAGTATATAGACTGTACTATAAATAAAAATAAAAAAGAAAACAAAAGAGCATTTCTGTGATAAATTATTATAGTCTCAATTAAATTTAGAATTTTTAATATACTCCGCTATTAAATATTTAAAAAATATACTATTTTTATAGATATCATAAAAATATAAATACAAAAATATACTAACGCTGCTTATTTTTCTGCAGTATGTAAGAATACCGAGTAATTTCAAAGTTACGAAATAAACAGGAACCATAATATTTTACCACATACATTAAATTAATTGCAATATGTTATTTTTTATGAAAATGCGTATATTTTAGTATAAAAATCTGACTATTTTTGATATTGATATATGATCTTGAATATGAATACTAAGAATCTTAGAAGAATTAATTCAGGGATAGTAAAAAATTTAATCGGCTTAACTCCGCGAGAAAATTGTGGACCATCTGTGCGATAAACGTAGTTAAAAATCTTATCATTATTTTAAAACTTCCTAAAAGAATTGGCCACCTTAAAATATGGAAATAAATCCTATAGTTTTTTTATGATTTTTCAAGAATAAAACAATAAAATGATTAGATACAATAGAAGCGACCTTTTCATTATTCCATTTAACGCTATTTTATTTTCGTTTTGTATTTAAGAAGTATGTTTATTTAAGTACATAAACTTTACATTTAAGTCATATACCTATTGAAAACATTTGCTAATGATAACAAAATTGTAATGAGACCAAAGAAATTGTAGGCGTTACCAAAAATAAGTTAAGTAGCCTTCGTGTTTGAAGTAGATAAATGTAAAGTTTTGTAACAAAGAGATATATATAAATTTATATATAAAATATTCATCCATGTCCCTTTTAGTCCAGTCAAAGAGGCAATGCATCGAAATAAAAACTATTCACATTTTCTTTGACATTTTCAAAAGTCAAACAAAATAGATCCATTGAAGTATTGTCGCGAAAATTAAAAATATTTTTTTATGTCAACCTCTCAAATAAAACGGAATACTTTCCGATTTAAATTTAAAGGCAGCCTACAATTGAATAAAGGTACTGAATCAGCTTAAAAAAATAACTATATATTCATATATTAAATTAAATGTTTTGCTTTTGTAAAAGTCTTTAACAATTTTTTTAAGCGAATGTCTAACAAAGAGCTATAATTTCATTCGACAAATTTCACACAAATTCTTACAATGATATGGGTTTACTATAATTTAAAAAAAAAAAACTTTAAAATAAATCTAACGCCGGAAAAATATGAACAAAAATGATCTTTTATAATTGCTATTTAAACATTGAAAATATATGCATACACGAAACACCATTAAAAGTTTGGAAGAAGAAAAGATTTAAATTGATTTAAATTGATTATTAATTATAATTTATAGCTGATGGACACTCAATTTTAAAAGATATATTTTTATTTATTTATTATAGCGAAAGTTCCCCGATAACTTGATTATGAATGCTATAAACTTTGTATGGATTCCGTGAGAATTTTCCGGTTCAATTTAATATTAAAATGACAGAAATAGAAATGGTGTAAGATGGTAAGGTATTTGAATTGCGTAAATATCCCCGGGACTTGCCTATATTACGGAAAACTCATTAAAATTAGATGAAATAAAGCGATTCCATTACAGAAACAATCGTCTTTGTAGTTGAGTTGTGCCTTTCGATGTTTTTACATCTTGTTCTCGTGATAGTTCATTTTTAGAAAATACAATGTTATGAGTTTGTTAACCAAAACAACAGTCACATCTTTTTGCAGAAAGCTATGTATTATTCATATGTTTGCCAAACAAAAGGGGTGCCTAAAAAAGTCGCAGTATGAATTATTATCAAAAAATAAGCTGGCATCACTAAAGAATTGTGTTATAAATTTTTTGACATGCGACATTTCGATTTTATATTATAATATTAAGGAAAATAATTAATATTCTCTTACTCGTATTAAAATAGAGGAACAATCGTGTTCAACTCATCGGACTTACTTGACCATATAAGAAAAAAAAATCCTAACAGATAGATTGCAAGTATTTTGAAGAATTCAAAATATTTTTCATAAAATACCAGAGCAGTTGCTAGTAGATAAGATTATTACTTTTTAAATGTATATATCAGAACCTAAAATGTTAAATACTAAAACTGATCATAGCGGATAAGTTAGAACATATTGTAAAGTACAGAAATCTTAATGTACAGATAATTCAAAGAGGACGGAATTATCCAACATATAAAACCAATAAATTAAACTAATACCAAAAAAATATTAATTACTGTGTCTACCTATCATTAAACCCAGATTATAGATTCTAAGTCTCGATGTCAGCCTTAAAATAAGTTAACTCTACTCTAATTTACGAATTTTATTGCTTTGTTTATTGGTAAAAAAAACATTATAGTTTTACAATCATTTCTTGTTATTATTAAGAGTATAAAACTAATAACTAAAATATAACACAATAACTTGAGAATGTTGAGTTTAAAATAGATACATATTTACTATATTTAAAGTATCCCAACTTACTTTTAAATCACAGATAAATGTGCTAATAAGTAGCCACATATATATATGTATATAGGTATAGAATACATTTTGTACGTAATTACTTACTTTTATTAGTGGTCGTGTGATTCAATTCAACATCTAAAATAAAAGACTGTTGAATTTGAATCTGACTGGGAGTGAAGCAGTTGAGCAAAGTTTATATTGAGAGACACGGAACGGGAAGAACACGTCATTACATTACAGTCGGAATTGTGACTGTTTGGAGTTATTCTGGAACAGTCAAACAATTAAACCGTGTAACGTACGTTAGTCCCATAAACTACTAACTGGTTGCTAGCAATCATGGAGCCATATATACAGGATATAATTCATAATATTTTTTAGATTGAAATTCAAATTAATGAAATAAAATATTTAAAAAGAGGTGAAACAAAGAACGATGCAATCGCCTCGTGGTAATTTTAACCAGGCCATAGAATATTTATTTTGTTGAAGAATGTATGAAAGGCGAAACCGCGATTTTAGACAGAAAAAATACAATATATTTTCACACCAACACAACTCATATTTATCCGAAACGAAAACCCGACAACAAATGCATTGGTACTCAAATTTGTGATCTAAGAGTTTCGCGAGTAATCATTTAAATGAAACTAATATTATTCGG